ACTGAGACGGTTTCTTTTATTACAGATAATTCGACAGAAGTATGCATACAAGTACATACTGTATTTCTTGCACTAGAGTACACAGTATGTTATACTTTATGTATTTATTAAGCTAAAGTCAAAGATTTCATTGCATTTAATTTCTTTAAAGTATAGAGTTGTGCTATACTTACTATTCACATATCTTGTGTGCTCTTTATTCCTACTGTTCTGTAACTTGTGACGCAACACTGAAATTTCCCCTTTGTGGGACAAATAAAGGATCTCTTAATTGTATGAGTTTAATCGGCCCATTTGGTCTTATTCTATTAATTTACTGGCAAGATACTACTGATAGAAACTCTGAAACTGGAACTGATGTGGCCGGTTAGCAAACCGCAGATGGTGCCATTGCTAAGAGGATTAAGACGAACGTGAGCCCTGACCCCTGCACAGCTCTGAACAACACTACATAATCCCATTTCAATATTTCCTCCTCTTAATTCTTCTTTACAATATGCTCAGGCTCAGTCCTATTTTAGTTACATCAGGGGGATACAGTATAGTAATGGCCGCACGAAGAGTGGATTACACAGTTACAATGACAGGTGATATAATATAAATGTAACTTTTAACTCTGCCCCCTCTGGTCAGATTGGACCATGCTCATAATGTGAGAGGTTCTTTTAATCGGACAAATGTTGTAATAGTCCACTTCTTATTTCAGAATGTCTATGAAAACTGCAAACATGAAAACATTAGAGACATGGAGAAAAAACCCACCCTAAACCTAACCCCTAACCCTAACCCAAGCCATATGATACGATGCAGAACATAATAACTCCTGGCCTAAATCAATGTGCTGTATGTTCTAACTCTGGTTAAACCACCGTAACATTGCCACTGTTAACCCAAAAGTTGATTGCACTCGAATGGTTTCAGCTCTAACCACTGGTTCTTGGTAAAAGTCAAATCATATAACTGTGGCAGAGAGAACTCATTGGTTGAAGTTGAATGATCTTAACCTATATAGTGTTGCATGTGATGCACTAGAATTAATACATTTAACTTGGTCCAATCTAATTTAAGTTTATTCTAAAATATAGTTTGAGTACAAATGTGTGTAAGAGAATGAGTTTTGAGGTCAACACTCAAATGAAACAAGTAAATGAGATCACTACTACAACCTTTAAGTTGAAAAAACTTTCACTATCTTTAAGTTTTCATTGCTCCTCCCATATTTTTCCCGGCTGCACTGGAACCAGGGACATGTCTGGGCAGAGTTGTTTTTCAAGAATAAGCAGTTTATTAATGATTTCCTTGGACTTGAAAGTGTCACTGGGAGAACCTTAAGTGCCTGAACAAATTCTGGGACAAAGCATTTTTGAATAAAATTGCTTTTAAAAAAACGGCCTTTTCTGGTTTTTAGCATGTTCTTGTTGATATCGAGGTATTGAGTGTGTTTGCCTTGACATTTTAAGTTAGTTTTAATTAAATATATGAGCTTTAAAGTATTACTAAGCAAACATTTGTGTTTTCTAATATTGACACTACTAAAACAAAAAAGTTTTCTTTTAGAAATTCCCCTAACAAGTTAAGTTAACTGAACATAAACATATTAGTTCTAAAATTGGAAAACTTAAACACATCAAATGGCTATGACTCCATATAGTAATTTGTGTTTTGTTTTACTTTTTAGGTTTACTCTACTTAATCAATTCATTTTTTTGCCTCAGGGCAATAACTCAATCGGTTTGTGTGGAATCGGTTTCCTAATGTGAATTGAGTAGTCTGAACTTGTGCACATAAAGCAGGCAGTGCACATAACAGTTTAAATCCGGGGGCTTGTAGTTTCCTGAATGTTACTATGAAACCTGCACCGAGAAGCAGGTACCACCCCTTTTCATGAGGCATCAGGTTTAAAGGAATAGGCCACCGTTTTTATATACTGACATATGTTCTCCTTACCTTAGACTAGTTGATATGTACCTGTCTGGTCTTTGTCCGTGCGCTCTGTCATGCAAACGGAGCACAAATAAATATAGTTACGTGACGTGTTACACTACACAGAAATGTAAAATGTCAATTTTCTTAGCGGATAAAAAGGGGTACTATATTGTGAGGCGTAGTAATACGAGGAGCACTACGTCCGTACACTAACTCCTAAAGACGGAAGTGAGCGGGAGAGAAGTCTGGAGTTAGTGCGCGGACTATCGTACCCCTTTTTATCCGCTGAGAAAATCGACATGTTACATTTCTGTGTTACTATACTTTGTAGTGTAACACGTCATGTAACTGTATTTAAATAGGGAACATGTGGAAGAGTTTGGTAGCTTCTAACGGGAGCTGATTTGGAACTATACAGTATATGGAAGAGGCTGCGTTTCTGCTCCGTTTGCATGACAGAGCGCACGGACAAAGACCAGACCGGTACAGTGCCTTGCGAAAGTATTTTGAACCGTTCAAAATATTGCCACATTTCAGGCTTCAAACATAAAGATATTAATTTTTATTTTTTTTGTCATGAATCAACAACAAGTGGGACACAATCGTGAAGTGGAACGAAATTTATTGGATAATTTAAACTTTTTTAACAAATAAAAAACTGAAAAGTGGGGCGTGCAATATTATTCAGTACTTTCAGTGCAGCAAACTCACTCCAGAAGTTCAGTGAGGATCTTTGAATGATCCAATGTTGTCCTAAATGACTGATGATGATAAATAGAATGCACCTGTGTGTAATCAAGTCTCCGTATAAATGCACCTGCTCTTTGATAGTCTCAGGGTTCTGTTTAAAGCGCAGAGTGAACCATGAAGACAAAGGAACACACCAGGCAGGTCCAAGATACTGTTGTGGAGAAGTTTTTGGATGCAAAAAGATTTCCCAAGCTTTAAACATCTCAAGGAGCACTGTGCAAGCAATTATATTGAAATGGAAGGAGTATCAGACCACTGCAAATCTACCAAGACCCGTCCGTCCCTCCAAACTTTCATCTCAAACAAGGAGAAGACTGATCAGAGATGCGGCCAAGAGGCCCATGATCACTCTGGATGAACCGCAGATAACTACAGCTGAGGTGGGAGAGTCTGTCCATAGGACAACAATCAGTTGTGCACTGCACAAATCTGGCCTTTATGGAAGAGTGGCAAGAGGAAAGCCATTTCTCAAAGATATCCATAAAAAGTCTCGTTTAAAGTTTGCCACAAGCCACCTGGGAGACCCACCAAACATGCAAAACGATATGTTTGGCGTAAAAGCAACACAGCTCATCACCCTGAACACACCATCCCCACTGTCAAACATGGTGGTGGCAGCATCATGGTTTGGGCCTGCTTTTCTTCAGCAGGGACAGGGAAGATGGCTAAAATTGATGGGAAGATGGATGGAGCCAAATACAGGACCATTCTGGAAGAAAACCTGTTGGAGTCTGCAAAAGACCTTAGACTGGGACGGAGATTTATCTTCCAACAGGACAATGATCCAAAACATAAAGCCAAATCTACAATGGAATGGTTCACAAATAGACGTATCCAGGTGTTAGAATGGCCAAGTCAAAGTCCAGACCTGAATCCAATCGAGAATCTGCGGAAAGAGCTGAAGACTGCTGTTCACAAACGCTCTCCATCCAACCTCACTGAGCTCGAGCTGTTTTGAAAGGAAGAATGGGCAAGAATTCCAGTCTCTCGATGTGCAAAACTGATAGAGACATACCCCAAGCGACTTGCAGTTGTAATTGCAGCAAAAGGTGGCGCTACAAAATATTAGCGCAAGGGGGCCGAATAATATTGCACGCCCCACTTTTCAGTTTTTTATTTGTTAAAAAAGTTTAAATTATCCAATACATTTCGTTCCACTTCACGATTGTGTCCCACTTGTTAATTCTTGACAAAATTTTTAATTTTAATATCTTTATGTTTGAAGCCTGAAATGTGGCGAAATGTTGAAAGGTTCAAGGGGGCCGAATACTTTCGCAAGGCACTGTACGTATCAACTAGTCTAAGGTAAGGTAAGAACATATGTCAGTATGTAAAAACGGTGGCCTATTCCTTTAAGTTTTGCTTATTATTTATTTAATTAAGTGATGGGATGTTTAGGTCACTGTGAACATCGGTTCTCTTATGGACACTTCCTGATCGGTGCAATCAGGAAGTGTCCTTTTCTCTTGTTCACTGTTAAAAACTCGCACTGCAATAGTCACTTTTAAATTTTATCTGTATATAAAATATTGTTCAAAATATACTAAATTTTAACTTTTTATTATGTTTGCACATTTCCGGTTGTTTTCACACCCTGAGTGATCCTATTTATGCCAATTGTGACATGTACATTTTTAACTGTTCCACCTGTTCCAGGAAGTTGCTTTCCTCTTGCTTCACTGTTTAACCTGATAAAAGGCACGTCTACTTCCCTAGCTTCTGTGTTGTGGATTTTACGGCAGTATTTGTGTTACTTTTAAAGAGTAGAACAGGTTTGGAAACATTTATATTGAGACACGCCAGTCCAGTAGAAGTCGTAAAGGACAGCACCTTGCATAAGTATTCATACGCTCTAACTTTTGCTTTTTTTCTCATGTTACAACCAAAAAATGGAAATATTTAATGGCTGATAATTAATGAAATAACCAAAGCAAAGGAACAGATGATTGTGTTGACTAAAAGTCTAAAGTGGGGTTTGCAAAAGTAGTCATACGCATTAGTATATACTAGGGCTGTCACAATTCACCAAATCCTTGGCACACTGTCCACAGTGTATTTGAGTATTCCAGACACACAAAGTGTGTGTTTGTGACTGGAGGACAGAGGACAGTTTGGACAGTATTTGTATAATATCACTATTCAGTTGTAGCCTCCATCTTTATAATTTATGTACTGACGTCCACAAATGTTATGATGATATTTAACCCCTGCCCTCATTTTCTACAACCGTCCGTTTAACCGTGTGTGTGTGTGTGTGTGTGTGTGTCTGTCTGTGTATACATGTGTGTATGTCTGCCTGTCTGTGTGTATGTGTTTGTGTTCAGGAGGACTCAGTGGCTCCATGGCCCCAGCCCTGTGACCACCTTCGGCCCTAAGGCGTGTATGCTGCAGAACCCTCAGGCTGTCATGTAAGTCCACCCTTTAGTTTGCTGAATCTGTATGATATGGATGTTTCCAAATTACAACAATTATTGTTTTTGTCAAAACACAATTTCACTGAACAATTGTACATAATAATGTAGTCCGGAAGCTAACGCAACTTAGTCTTAATTGTAGTCCTGAAGCTAACACAATATAGTCCTAAAGCTAAAAGTGCCATATTCACCAGGGTTCCCAGTCTCAGGGGATTTACAGTGGTCCCTCGCTATAACGCCTAACTATTATGCAGTTCTCCTGTCTCCTCTATCCTTTCTCCCCTCTCCCCCCTGCTCTCTCCTCTTTTCATCCATCCTTTGTCTCATTTCCACTCTCCTCTCTGCTTTCTCCTCTATTCCCTCTTCTTTCCACCAGGGATGTCCCGATCCAATCTCGAGATCGGAATTATGCCGATATTTCATGGTTTTTGACTGATCAGAGATCGGCTACTCTGCCTAAGAACTTGCCCGATCTTTCACCAGTTGTCAGGAAAATTAGCCAACCTTTAAAACTCGGTTGCGGGCAAATTTCAGAGTGGTGTTCATGTGGCCACTAGTTAAAACATTTTAAAAGTCTGGCAGTATTTCTCAGTAGAAAATGAGGGCAGCACAAAAGCAACATGCAAAGTATGCAACATGTTGATTGGGAGAGGTGGAAGCAGCAGAGCTATATTCAACACGACAAATCTGTTTGGCCATTTGAGGACTAAACATGAAACGTGCATACAGAGTAGTATTTTGTTATTATGACTTGGGGTTTCACTACATTACAATTCGGTAGTGATGGGCATATGAAGCCCTGTAACACACCAAGGCTTTCATACCAGTTTGTTTTGAATATGTCGAAGCCTCTCAGCTAGCTCATGCTAGGTTTTAAAACTGACAAACGTTATCATTGCAGCTTCTGAATAGAAGTGCACAGCAAACACCACAACACTTTTAATAATAATGACAATTTTACCATTAAACATAAATGGCAGCATATATAGAGATACTGTATATAGAAAACCAAATCATTTGATTAAATAATGCCTTGTTAAGTTGAATAAGATCAGCAATTATTCCAAACCAAGGATCTCCATTTTCCACTTGCAGATACCATTAAATTTGCCAAAATGCCAAAATCACCACCACTATACAACACTCAAGAAATATGGATGCATCATTTATAAATTATATAAATTACGCACGTAAAATCAAAATATTGAGTTTACTTTCTGAAATCGTTGTTTACAATACCAATGATGAAAAGCAGGACTCGAAATCAGATCGGATTTTCACTCTCCTCCCTTCTCTCCCCTCTCCTCTCTTTCTTACTCTTTTTTTATTTATCCTCTCCTCTCCTCTCTTCTCCTCTCTCCCCTCTCCTTCCTCTCACCTCTCACCTCTCGCTTCTCTCCTCTTTGCTCTCTCTTCACTCCTCCTCCCATGTCATCATACCGATGTCATACTCACTACAGCAGAGTGATGTCACACTCAGGATTACAGAAATGTGATGCCACACTGTTTTGCTTATTGGCCATGCCAGACCAACACAGTTTGACCTTTACACACATGAAAGGCTCATCCAGTGCGTGGCTGCATTCTTGTGTTTTCTGCTTGAAATACCAGAGCAGCAGGTTTGTGACCAGCACAGACAGGTGGATCGACCTGTCTGACATAACTAGTGTTTTGGCTTAACTCTGATTACCTAAGCCGTGTTATGTGGGAGGGGCCATGGCGGAGCTTGTGTCATCGTCTGAGCAGCACTCTTAAGCAGACAGCAGTGTCAAACCAGAGGCAGTGGAACATGGCTCGGTGCGAGTAAACTAGGACCTAGTATGTGCCCTGCGCAGGACGCCCTCTTGGGCTACACCATGAACCAACAGTCCAACTGGTAGGAGACCTTTAACTCTTTCTTTTCCACCATCATGTGTGAGTCAGCACTTCTGTCAATGGACTTACTGTAAGCCAAGTTATATTCATAGTGGTGGTGAATGGGGAAACTCCGCATAGTCTAGCACAGTTCGACTCTGTGATGTTGACAGTGATGAAAAGGTTTGCTCACAACTGTTATTTCCCCATCTGTAAGTAGACTATCATCATACATTGAGCTCTGTGGGGAAATATTTGTGTTGCACCACAAAACGGTTGGAATGAGGAGCATAAAACAAGTGAATTTTAGCTACACTGGTCCCTCACTGTAAAACGGTTCAGTTTCCGTGGCCTCACTGTGCTTTTTTACAGCGTCTTTCTCATGCGCAGCATGTGTACTCCCAACAACATCCTCTAACCCAGGGGTGCTCACACTTTTTCAGCATGCGAGCTACTTATAAAAGGATCAAGTCAAAACGATCTACCTACTACAAAAATGCAAATCATATATTTCAAAAAATATTCTTTATATCTACAATGTATGTTTATGTACATGCAAAACAGCATGAGCCAATATAGCACAACACAACACAATTACCTATGTAAATTTTTTGTCATTACCCGAGTTTACTCTTATGACTTGCACTGAATTGAATCGGCCAGGGATGCATAGTCCGGAAAATTGGTGGTAACTCGCTGACAAGTTTGTCGTGGTTTTGCTTTCCTGCACTGAGCGCGGTTGTTTGCGCATGTGCAGTCACCTAAGTGTCAGTAAAACATTACTGAGTAAAACACAGATGTCATTTGACTGTGCTGCCATGTCCATGTGCCATGCCTGTTTTTTTAAATCCAAATATTTCCCCTCCTCCGTTTATAAAATAATTTGCATCCACACATCTGCGTTATCAGTCACATTTGTAACATTCCAAACATGTGCGTCTCTTACGTCCTGTCCTGCGTTGGGGAAAAACACAGAAGTGGGCGGAGTTCTGATGCAGACACCGGTAACGGCACTTTTACAGTCATAGAAGACACTCAGAGTAAAGAGTAAGACGTATGTTTACAAGCACTGACCCCGTCCTCAGCCCTGGTTTAGTCCTGGTTTAGTATTGGTTTAGTCCTGGTTTAGTCCTGGTTTGGTTGTTTTCGAGCGTGAGTCCCCGCGATCACTTTGTTGCTCTCTGATGTGGAGGATGTTCGCTGCTGCGAGCATCTCACAGCGAACAGTTTTTAAGGTAGTATGATCCATGCTTCAGTGATCAGAGGAATTTAGGGGGGTACTGTGGCGTGCGAGAACGCAAAACTCTGGTTATCTCTGTCTACACACAAATGCATTAACGGAGTTTTCAAAAATCTCCACTTTGCCCGGAGTTTTTTGTATATATTCGTTTAGAATATGTGATTTTTTTATTTATTTAATGCGATCTACCAATACTACCTTTGCGATCGACTGGTAGATCGCGATCGACGTATTGAGCACCCCTGCTCTAACCTATATAACATGACGTCACAAAACAAACAATGACGGTGGGTGAATAGCAATGAACAGACTACAGCAGAAGTCATAATGATGACAGATAAAGTTGGAAGATGAGAGGATTGTGCTTAAGTTACCATACTTCTCCCAGAAAAGTGTCTCCCTAGATAGATTGGAGATAGATACTTTATTGATCCCTGTAGGAGAAATTCAGGTGTTCAGTAGCAGCAAAAATAAAATTGATAATTCTAAAAAGCTAATAATCAGCCACAGGCCTTCAGGTTACAGCAGCAAAGGTGGGGTGGTCTCTGGGTGGAGCAGTATGGGTCACTGTAGCAGGGGTGGAGTAGCCACTGGGTGGAGCAGGACGGGTCACAGCAGCAGAGGTGGAGTAGCCACTGGGGGGGGGGTAGGACAGGCCACAGCAGCAGAGATGGAGCAGCCGCTGGGCGGAGCAGGACAGGTCACAAGGCGGAGCAGTCGCTCCCGTCCAAAGCAAAATCCGAACTACTTCACCAGTATTCACCAAAAAGTTAGCATTCCTCCAGTGGATCTCCACCCGGTCCACTTGGCTTGAACTACGAATCCCCTCCGCTCCGGTCCGGACCCGTGCAAAACCATGAACACTGCACTGCAGCAACATCCCAGAAAAATAAAACAACTGTTTCAGAGCTATTTAGGACTTGCAGCCATTTTCCAGCGCATTCAAAAGAAGAGACTGCAGCTTGACTTACAATCCTTGTTTTTAGTATTCTAGTATTTTAAGTCTTTCCTGAGTCTTACCTAAGTAACCATATGCTAAATGGCAAACTCTGGTGCCTCTATGCTCCCTCTATGATCTCTCGCTGGTCTCTCTCTGGTCTTTCTCTGATCTCTCTCTCTGGTCTCTATCTCTTTTCTCGTCTCTTTCGGTGGTCTCTCTCTGGTCTATTTCGCTGGTCTCGCTGTTGTTTCTTGCTGGTCTCTTGCTGGTCTCTCGCTGGTCTCTATCTGCTCTCGCTGAACTCTTTCGCTGGTCTCTCCCTGGTCTGTCTTGTTTTCTCGCTGGTTTCTCTCTGGTCACTGTCTGGTCTCTGTCTGGTCTCTCTCTGGTCTCTTTTGCTGGTCTCTCTCTCTGGTCTGTCTCTGATCTCTCTTTCTCGTTCTCTGGTCTTTCTTCCTGGTCTTTCTCTCTCCAGGTGGTTAGAAATGTGTATAAAGTGTGTGGTGATGGGTTTCACCGTGTTAAAACGCAGAGCTGCTTCGCCTGCGTCCCCGTGATGAACAAGGGACCAGTGTACTCCAAAAGCCTTCATAGTGAGCTGTTTAGAGCCTGTCAGAAGAGTGTGACATTTCTAAAATTCACATGATTTGCGGTTGAAGACACATGGAGTAAAATGGTTGTTGTGCTCTGCTGAGACTACTTGGCCTCAAGAGGACGAACAAACAAATCAACAAATATCTCTGGTACAATGAATCTGGTACACAAAGCCAAAGCTAACCACTCAATCGCATCCAATTGCTCACATGCAGAACCCGAAAGGGGACAAGGTCAATATTTTTAAGCACCATCAAACGGGTGACCAAAGCTGAAGACCAGAGCACCCATTACCAAATGTCTTCGGGCCGGGAAACGATAGAGTTGGCTATTGGATTGGCCTTGCGGAGACTGAGATGGTGTTTC